TTCACCCCTTCGCTCCCAGCACCAGCAACCGCGACCGGGCAAACCTGGGCATGTGTTACGCTTGCGATAGCTGCAGGAAAAAGCAACGTACACCAGGGAAAACTGACTGCAAGACCATTAATGTCACATCAGGCTTGCAGCACTGCCTTTGTTTTATGTTTTAAAGAAGCAAGGTAAAAAGCTGTACAATAGTAAAAACTTAACAGTAACCTCAGGTGTCTTAAGCAAAAGAGTCCCACCATGAAAGATACAAATTCAAAGCCTCAGTTTTTAAACAAAAAGTTTCAAAGCTTTACTTTGGGAATAAAACTACCACGGATTATTAGAAAACCAGCAATTTTACAGCAACTTACATAAACATTTATAAAATAAGAGAAAAACTACAAACTCAGTAAGTTCTACACCAGTTGTTTATGTTAAAGTTGAAATATCAGAAAAAACACACACAGGAATTACTAACTTTTTAATTTCCCTATGTGAATTAATTGGATCAGTGATGCCGCCTTCCTTGTTTAGTAGCAGACGTTTTCAGGCACAAGACAGGGAAGAACCACCACCTCAGGGTACAGCTGTGGGACAGGCACCGTTCCCTCTAACGCTGGCCTGGTGGCAGCTGCTGTAAGCATGAGAGCATAAAACAAAATACAAAAATGCCTCCGTTTTTAAAAAACCCAAACCAAGCTAACAGCTCGATAAATTCCCCTGATGGCACCTGTAATTTTTCTGTCTATACCAAGCTTCAGTCCTTTCTCGAGTACTTGAACACTCTTTTTTGTTTGCCAGTGGACCCACAAGATAATTATGTAGAGAAGCTTTTATAAAAGTGCTGATTTTCACCGGCAGTAGGACACCGTAGGACCAGCCAGATTTCTCTGTTACCCCGCTCCTTGGCTTTTCAGGTTCAGAGCTATTGCTCCTTAAGAGGTACCCAAACCTAAAGCCCCAGCTTATTGACCAGGTGCTGCTGGCACACGGACTGAGAAAACTATACGATAACGCTAACGGACCGTATGAAGGCTATTAATGGGACAGAGCTGCTTTTCTGTCTAGGTGCAGGTAATCTAAACACAATCCAGTTAACTGTAAATATTTAAAGTGGATGGTAAATCTCACAGTGATAAATTAATCTGGTATTTGGTTAAGAAGTTCTATTGCTTTAAACAAATAATGATTCAGTGGATCTCAAAATACTTGTCAAATATGCTTTTAATGATAATAAAGGGAAACAAATCAGCTATATTGGAAGCTATACCAAAGGAAACACGGCTTCATCCGCCCCGGAGAGTGGGCAACAAGGAACAGACACTTAATGAAAAGCAAAAAAGGTCAGTTCGTTCAGAAACCTCCAACACGTGCCACCTCCTGTCTGGGAAACATCTCCTTGTCCAGGCACCCGGTCCTTGTGCTTCTGTTAACCCACGCAGACATTCAATAAATAAAGGGCAACGCTCAGGATGACAGCTAACGATGACCGCAAACGAGAAGGGCTGGGGGAACGGCAGAGACCCCGTCCCACAGCGCTGCAGGACCCACGCAGGCAGCTCGGTACGGTACAGGAGGCACCGGGGTGCACCAAAACCAGGACGATGGGCGTCAGGGTGCTCAGCTGGTCCCCGGGGGGGCTGAGGCCGAGGGGTGCAGCGCTCCCCGGTGCCGGGCAAGCTCCCCCCAGCAGAGCCCAGGGCAGGTACTGGGGCAGTGGCTTGGCAAACCGCCGTGGCTTGCGCCTAGCTGTGAAACAAATTACGTCTGGTGGACTTCTGTCCTGGGAAGTGGAGCTACGGAAACCTCTCCTGAAATCCCACAGGCAACACACAGGTCCCACTTCGATGGCCTGTGGAGAGGTGGCCAGGAGAAGTCACCAGGATGGATAACTCAGTGCACAGCATTTTGTCTGTCTTTTAACCCCAAATGGTACCACAGTGGTGCCTTGAACCATCTGTGAGGAGACATACATCTCAGTCTTCATCACTTGAGAGTTATAAAGAATAAAAATTTAAATTCACTTTTCACCAAAAATATCTATTGTTTTGAATTTTACTGCTTGTTTTCTTAAATTCCCCTCTCCTGTTTCACCTGAAGTTGTGGTATTTTGTGCCGGATAAATTCCTGAACCACAGGAACAGGACACCAATGGGACACAGACAGAGAAGAAGCAATCGCTTCATCTTGCTTAGATTATGGTTTTACCATATTCCTTCGCACTTGGATTAATTACAGAGCTGCAACCCTGCAAGTGAGCAGACCTGTCTGAAGAAGGAAATGGCACGTCTGGAGTCTGGCATAGGAAATCAGACCTTGTGGGACTACAGGAGTCTACTGATCAGCAAGGAAAGTGGCCAGGTGCCCCACTCAACTACCCGATGCTTGCTGAAGGCTCTGCAACAAATTACAGGAGACATGAGAGAAGGAGCTCTCTAGCCCTGGCATAGGAATAAGCTTCACCCAGCTTCATGAGGCAGTGAGGAACCATACCTTGGTACGTGTGCTGTAATCCCCACCGACAATGAGATGTCTCTGGTTTTATGAGTCTGCAGGAAGCGGTCATGGGGCTCCAATCTAGGCCGATTTTATTTTAATGCTTTTATACCTGCGGTGAGTAGAAAGTGGCTTCAAGAGAGAAGACAAACCCTTGTCAAGAGAGAAGACAAACCCTTGAAATCCTGCACCTGTGAGCCACATCCCACTGCCAGCAGTTCCCTCTCTCAACAGCAAAGATCACAGGAGACCACCTCCACTGACCGTCTGAAAAGAACCATAACAGGAACATATCTGAAACCACTAAATCTATCACTGCGCGAACGCTGCTTCTGCAGCTTAAAAGGTCACCGAGTACTTCCCGAACTCCCCCCCCCCCCCGCCGATTGCTAATGGCTGTTGAAAACTGCTGTTTCACAATGCATTCCTTAAGGAATCAGTTTTAGATAAACAACTTCTCACCATACACCGCAGAATGAGCTGGAGACAAATCCATTCAGTTAACCAGAAAATAGCAAATATTGCCTTCTAAAAAGTGCTAAATCTCTACTTCAGCTAAAAAAGTAAAGCGTATTTCCTCTATCCACATACCCAATACGTATGCAGATCGCAAAATCTGTAACAAACCCTTACTGATCTGACACAAGCCGATCAGGACGGTTCACTGCACGCTTTCATCTGTGTGACCGGAGGAGGTTCATATTCCAGTGCCATGACAGCCGCGTGCTGAAACAGAGTACCTCAAACACGGAGAATGGCCATTAATCTCAAACCATTACAAGTAATTTACTTTGCCATTTACAGAGCAGCCAAGAACCGCCTGAAAAATTCCCCCTCCAAGCACAGGAGTTACTGGGCTCGAGCCTTTGTCGGGTGAGCCGCGCTAGCAGGCACTCACCCACGATGTCTCTGCCACCCTTGTGCAACGCCACTGACTGACCAAAAAGCTTCGCTTGTAACACAGGCAAGAATAAATAAAAAAAGCAGACTGTGCCTGAATGGATATATGCTTTTTAATAATGGGAAGCAAAAATGGCTGATTGTATAACCTAGACTTCTAATTCACTTACCTTATATCTCTGCCAAGCCTCATAAATTTCACTTGGTTTACTCTGCGCAGCCAGTTTTCCCAGGATTTGCCTCACTGCACCTTTTCTCAGGAATTTGGACACAGATTGAAAGCAAGAAAAGACTGCACTAACAGTTGGACTTCAAAAAAAAAAAAAAAAAAGAATTGAAGAAATAATGGAAGCGCCTTATCACTTCCCACTGGCCAAATGCTGGGCGGCCCAGAGAGGGAAGGCTGGAAAAAAGCCAAAAAAACTCAACTTCTCCATTAGATTGTCAGCACATCCGTGTCCCGCAGAGTAAAGGTACATCCTATTTGCTATTCCAGCAGCGGACAGGAGCAGATGCTTTAAAAAAACAAGTAAAGAACAGAAGAAGCACAAAGTGGTATTTTCGATGGTGTAAACCTTCAGCCGTCAGCAATCAAAGCCGTGGGAGTTCCTGGGCCAGAATTTGCGCCCAGACTATTGCATTTGCACCATGGTAAGAAGGTACCCCTTCGCATTCATTTTAGACCTCCCGCACAGGGGACACAAGACAACTAAAAGGGACAGAGGAGCACTGCGTAAGAGGGCTCCAATCGCGTACAGGCAACACAGTCTGCCTTAAAAATCCATCTCGTCTGCACGATGCCAAGCAGAAACAGGGCCTGATCAGGCAAGGTTTCTGTTCACCTCACAAAAGCATCTAAAGCACATGAGAAAGACACGAGTAAGAGGGAGAGAGATGAAAGTACCTTTAAAAAAGAGAACAGCAGACATGAGCCAGACAGAACGAATGCAAAAGGAGCACCCCGAGCAGCGCCGAGATAAGCATCAGAGGGCTTCGAGATCTCGCTAACAGACGCCTATTATCGGCATCAAAGGAACTCAGTCCCTTGTTCTCATCCATCCTAAACAGGAACTCAGTCCCTTGTTCTCATCCATCCATCCTAAATGCCTTCCCATCCAGCCCGCGTTGCTATTTCCCTCGTTGCTATTTCCGTCCAGAGGCAGGTAATCTGCAGCCCGAGTCACCGACGGGAGCCCCAGGTCTCCCCAGCAGCAGCTTCCCTCCGAGCAGGCAGGGTGGCTGCCCTCCCAACGGATCCCCTTCGGGGCAGCTGCAAACCTCACCACACGGTCAGCACCACAACGAACAGGAAGGACGGGAAGGTTTTACCCTACGGACACGGGAGATCCCAGCAGGACAGTGGGTCCGCACCCCTGCGAGCCGCCTGTCAGAGATGGAAACGCAAGCCCGGCAGGCAGGATGCCTCCGGGCTACAGAGCTGCCCCGATAAATCCAGAGGCAACCTGTTCCTGTTTCAGGGGAATTATACCAGGGACAATCTACCTAGGTGAGGCTGCGTAGGACAAAGTTTGGTTCACACAGATCTATCTTTGCTGTTCGATACTGAGCAGACACAGATCGTCTTGATGAACAGCCGAAGGACTTTGAATTTTGGTACTTACAGAGAGGAGGCCCAAACAGCACCGTGTCCAGAGCTTTCAGCTGCAGCTTCTGCCTGTGGCTTCGATCTGTCATTTTCAGAACACTTCCCATCATGGTAGCGTTGTTCACTGCTAGCCTGTAAAATAAAAAAAAAAAGAAGTAGGCATGGTCATATCCATCTGGATTAATAACTGACCAAAAATTAGTAACGTGGAGACTACAGGAGGAGAAATGCAATGAGCAGGACCTGAAAGCTCCCTGCTTGGGCTATCAGGACAAAATAAATCCCTCAAATATTGTCATCTCTGATATAAGATACCTCTGTGAAAGAGTTAAGCAGCAGTGTCTTTGGCTTTACTCGGAGAGAGAGAAGGAAAAGCCAAGGCCACGCCTATTTCATTAATCCTGACAACCTAAGTTACTGATTTTCTATCAAAACTGATCTTTTGGTGTCCTACCAATCACTATTTTTTTTTTTTTTAAATCAGATTAATAACTGACCAAAAATTAGTAACGTGGAGACTACAGGAGGAGAAATGCAATGAGCAGGACCTGAAAGCTCCCTGCTTGGGCTATCAGGACAAAATAAATCCCTCAAATATTGTCATCTCTGATATAAGATACCTCTGTGAAAGAGTTAAGCAGCAGTGTCTTTGGCTTTACTCGGAGAGAGAGAAGGAAAAGCCAAGGCCACGCCTATTTCATTAATCCTGACAACCTAAGTTACTGATTTTCTATCAAAACTGATCTTTTGGTGTCCTACCAATCACTATTTTTTTTTTTTTTTTAAATCAAACCTATATTGCTAGCCTTTGACATCTTATTTCATAGACCGTTAAGACTGTACTTCCCACTTGGAAGAAATGTGGGCACACCATGCACTGCCTCGAAAACCTTACTTTATTCCCAGTTAATCCCTCCTTCCCAGTCAGTTTACAGGCCCCTTTTCAGTGACAATAACCTTTACCCAAAAAGCTGCACTGAGTTTTTTCAAACCTGTTACGAGTTTAGGCCAACTCATAGCCAGTGTTTCTCTTGAGGAACTCCGAAGTCTCCTTTGCTGGAGGATCAAGGGGCGTGAATTAACATCAGCACATGCCAGTGCTGGCTGGTGCAGAGATACATCACCAGTCGCCCTTGAACTGGGAACTTAAACGCTACTTAGATGCAACCCGGAAAGCAGAGATGGCATTTTGCTGAGGACGATGAACAATGACAGAGAAGCTCCACGACCGGGCTGGGGTTATGAAGGAAGGCTGTGGCAGAGCCAGGACGTAGCCTAGGTCTGCTTTGTTCCAGGTCAGGGTTTTAGCTCTAAATATGCAGCTCCAGGCGTAAGCAGGTGAAGTCTAGCATACAAACCAGCAAGGACAGTATTCACAACCACACAATTCGGACTGCAGCCTCTCCTTTCACCCACAGCAGATACACGCTCACTTACGGCTAAATCACTCCCTGCAGAGAGGACTACAGCAAAGCCGAAGCCTCTAAACATAACCGAAGCGGAACAGGAATTAGACTTGGCTCTGTACATGCCGAGGAATTGCACACGATGTTATGAGCCGCCTCAGATCTGTTTTTCTCCCTGGCACACATCCCGGAGGAACACAAGGCAATGCAGCAAGCACTGACCTGGGCATGGCATGTCCACTCAGCTGCAACTTTCTGAAGGTCTCTTCGTACTGTGGCAGCTCTACGTAGGTAATGAGCCACTGAACCACCTCGTCAACTGTCCAATTATACACTGTAGGAGAGGTAGAAAACAAGCGAGCAGCTTAATATTTTTACTAAGCAACTAAAATCAAATGCAACGACAGCTTAAGTTCACCAGGCATACCTCATCCTATCACCTTCAGCAAAGGAAAAATATCTGCGGAGTTTAAACACATTCCTATTAAGTATGCAGTGCGCTGGGGCGGGGACATTAAATCCTGTGGACTATTAGACAAGAAATAATCCCTCTGGGATACGCCAGGCAATCCTGCAGGTCCTCAGCCTCTACCTGTTTGCTTATTTTTGCTAGTCTGTTCTATACACGATGGGCTGCTACACGTTTAGCCTTAACAGACACCACCACACTGTGCGTAAGGACTGGTGCTTTCCCAACAGCAGCCTCTGACAGCAAACATTTCATGGTGGTTGATGTTACACTGTGCTTCCAGTTCGTGAAAGAAAAACACGTAATGAGGTCATCAGATAAAGGAGCAGCCTCAGACAGTGCTGGCGCAGGTGATGCTTCACTGGCAGCCTTTTGCAATGTCACCAGAAGGGCCTGAGGCTGAGATCCTCGGAAAGGCAACACCCAAAGTGCTGGCAGATAAGTGAAATCACTTCATTTTCTGTCATCTAAGCGATGTTGCTGTCTCCAAACTCCCAACAAAGTATGTTCATCCTCACTACATGCCCAAACCCCTGAAAAACTGAATTCAGCTAATGTATCTGGCAACAGGCTCTGAAAGCCTCCCCCCCTCCTCCAGACCTGTGGACCACATGAGTATCAATTAAAAAAAAGCGCAGTGGAGAAATGCTGTAAGAAAATGGTTGTAAACAGCCTGAGAAAGTGCTTTGCAGGAGGAGGAGAAGTGGGTGCAACAGCCCAAGTCAACCAGGTGAACTTTTCTCCTTAACTGCCTCACCTGTGGATTTGTGGATTATTTTTGGAGCTGACACACAGCTCCAAAGCCACAGATAAGGAAACCTTTGGAAATGAAGCTTCTGCCTTTGCCACTTAGTTTTGTCGTACTTATAGCAATGGTGTGAAAACAAAGAAAATCATACAACAGATTTTTTTTCATAGGAGAAATGGGAGTTTGCTGTGCTTTAATTTATTGACTTCTGCCTTTGCTTCGCATGGGCTGAGCTCTCGTGGCATTTACCCAGCCTCCAGCAACCCAGAGCGCTGTGCTGGACATCACCCACTGCTGACGGTCACCACCTCGCACGCTTCTGGCCCAACATCCATCGATCTCTCCCAGATGCCCTTTCCAACAGCCAAGTGGAGAAAAGGCCCATTTACTGCTGGCTCTGAGGGCTGCATCGCTGCATCGCTCAGAGCTGCGTGGCACTTCTTAAATGTCAACAATGAGTTGTCCCACAAATATGAGAAACATCTTCCAGCTCGCTCCAGCGAGCTAAAAGCCTTCGACGGGAAGATGACAGAGTGGACAGGACGAGAGCCAAGCGCTGAGCAAAGGAGAGCAAGACTTGAAGAGAAGGTGTCATCTCCACCTAGGCTTGCACGATGACTCACAGATGCAGGTTAGCAAACGCAAAGCCAGCAAACTGCCCTGGCTTAAGGAAAATCCCTACAGTTAATGGTCGCTGGCCCACAAACTGTGGGAGACCGATTTCTGTGGCCACAAGCAAGATGTTAAAGCTGAAGCGGGCAGGGGGAGCTCGGTTCCCTGGGTGGGCACCGCCAGCACCCAGGCGCAGCGGGACAGCAGCGCTGCAGGGCACGAGGCCAGACAGCTCGGCCACCGCACGTGGCCGTCACAGACCACCGAGCACCCACCAGCTGGGGGGGGCGAATGGTGCCCACGGGGGCAGGACTCAATGCACGCTCTGAAGAGCCCAGTGTGAAGTGCTGGGGGGCGGTGGCGAGCTGGCCCCTGGAAGGTCCCGTGGTGGTAGGGGGGTGCCTGCCTGCGCAGGCGTGGTGGGCACCGCTGCCTCCCGCCACCCGCAGCTCCCCCCAGGCCTGGCAGGGCTCCCCCCCTCCCCGCCAGCGATGCAGGGCTTGTCCTCCGCATCCCCACGCCATGCCACGCCAACAGCCGTGCCCCCACGCCAACAGCCGCCGCTCGGCCTCGCACAGCAGCCCCTGCACAGCCCGCCCCTGCCGGGCCCCGGGTTTCTCTGAAGCCCCCAGCTTCACTCTTTCTTTTTGGCTTTACATATTCAGAGGTCTTTATTTTGAGAAGAAATCACGGAGAAACAAGCTGGCAGCGTCAGGCAGCACGCTCAAGTGCAAAGATGAGCAGCTCCCCTGCCCTGCATCCTTGCCGCGATGATGTGATCTGCTACTTCAGTGGCTTTGGTAGAGCCATGCTTACCGAGGGCTTTATCTATCAAATCCAACACCTTGTAAGAGCATCACAACCTTTATATTTCTGGATAATTAGGGGGCAGAAACAACTTTTTAGTTTACACGTGTGACCAGGAACAACAGCAACGGCAGGTAGGAAAAACACTTGGCTTGAAAACAGATGAAACGGGCATAGCTGCCCCAGGCACCCATCCCCGTCAGACCTCGGTGCCCTTTCAAAGCTGCTTTTCACACCCACATGAAGGAGCAGACCTTTTCTACAAGCCTGATTCTACTCGTTTTACGACTCCAGTTTGAATGCCAAGATTAGGCTCCATATGAGACCATCCTTTAGAAACTAATAATTTATTTTATCAGCTAGATATACAGAATGACGAGAAGGGAAAACAAGAGCGGTAACTAGATCCAACACAAGGAAAACCATTACACCACAGCAGCTCTACCCAAAGACACGGCCGGTCCCGTGTGTGTCAGAAGCAGGGAGAGAGCAAAAGCAGCTCAGCAATTAAGGGACCCGGGAAGTATCATGGGATGTTCTCCTCCATCCCTTAATGATTTCTACCCTTTCCCAGCCGACATTAAAATATACTTCAGGCAAAGCCACTTGTAAACAGCCGCACAATAGAATAAATACTTCTTACACGAGGCTTTCCTTGAACACAGGAGACAGAGCGACTCGTTAGCATCATCCTGACTCGTAAGTGGTTTGGACAAGAATTTTCAACACGTGGCTGCCCATCTCCGCAGGATGGAGAGTCTGGTCCCAGATAAACAACTCCAGGATCATGCACAGAACCACTGTGTTTTCAACCCGCCTTTCAAATGCTGTACCTGAGTATTCATTTAGTCCACCCGGGATTGTGAAGGACTGTAACATTACTTACAGCTGTATCTACAGAGCGCTTTGAAAACACTGAGCACATCCTACCCCCAAGTAATTTAAAGGCTAAGACAGAAAAATCAAATACAAAGAGAACAGGACACAAATGAGAAATTGAAATCTTTACAGTTGATGAAGTCATCGGAAGACTAAAATCCAGTTTTTCAAGCAATGGGAGTTGATAAGATTACCTGATCTTGGAGGACAGAGGGAAGAGAAAAGACTAAGTGAAGGGAAGAGCAGCAATTAAAAGTATTGGAAAAAAAGATGCTGCAGGTCTGGAGAGTAACGTTACGACTAGCGTACTGACAGAAAAGGAAAAGCACAAGAGGAGGAGTAAAGGGCAGCCATTGGCAGAAATGGTCCGTGCCACGGATCACAAAAAGACCCGATATACCAATGTGACCTGCATCAACACGCCACTCACAATGCAGTAAGTAAATCAAAATGCATCGTACAGTCAACACTACACCTATGTTTTGCAAAAGTGCAATCTTCCTACTTCTACACCCTCCCCCACATTTTCATTTTCAAGGCACTGAAGATTTTTCTTATTAGTACTACTGGTCTTAAGATAAAATACCATTCTGTAATGAAGCCCAAAATTTGAGAATAAAAAGTTTCTTAACTAGAAAGAAGAAAGAAAAACCTGTTTTAAGATATCTCTCTCTCAAAAAAAAAAAAAAGAAATTCCAAAATTCTGATCGGGGAAAAAGCAGAAGTGAAATCATGCCTTTTCCTGACCACCTCGGACACCCTTCCGACGCCTGGAACAGCCAGCGCTGTAAAATCCCAGGGCGTGAGGCACCCTGCACGCAGCAGCCAGGGAAGCACTAGCAAACTTTAAAGTTTCTTCCAAGATTCAGAAGTTTCAGGAAGTTTCCCACCAGTGACTGAACTTCCACCACCTCCCTGGGTTAACTTGCTGTGATGAATAATACCGTTTCTTAACAGCTTGCAGCTTATTTCTGCATCGAATGTATTTACGTACACTTCCAGTTTTAGGACTTCATTCTACCTTCTTTTCACTAGATTAAGGAGCTTTTCAGGTTCAGCAAATTTCTTCTAAGGAAACCACGATCTGTAGGAAAACTGCCACGCAGCTCTATTGAATATTTACAATGCTATTACCCCATAAAAATACCAGCTGAAACTAGATATTTGAAGGAGAACCTGGAATAGGACAGTATTTTGCCCTATTTTAACACACATTTATAGGGGCAGAGAAATGAAACAACACTTTATACTTTTACGGCCATACTCAGATGCCAGCATTAACAGTTGGTAAGTACCAAGACCAATGAAATCCTGAAAGGCCTCCTCAGAAAAAGGAAGCTGGAAGAGTACTTGTACAAGGCAGCAAAAGCAGAAGCAGCATGTTCTTCCTGGGAGGTACACACACTGCTGCCAAGGCTATACGAAATCCACAGCGTTTATCACTTTTATGGCAAGGAGGGTGGAGTGGGCAGTTTCGTTTTGCTTGTCTTTTTTACCTTCAGATGTCTTCCAGGCCTTCCAGAGGTCTTCCACGCTAATGAGCTTGTCTTCTCCATGGAAGGTGCTGTGCTTGACTGTTGGGTCATGATAATTCAAGTCCTCCCTCAAGAACTAGGAGAAGAATAAACAGCGGGATTATTCTTTGATCCATCTTTTAGAGAGATGAGGAGCATTTAAAAAAAAAAAAAATCTTTCACCCATCTTCCTTATTATTACATCCACAGGTTGTCACACAGTAATTTCTATGACAAAGACCTAGTAAGTCTGAGATGCAGCATCTCTGGTCTTTTCATCTCGTGATTAAAACCACATCACCTCCCTATGATTCATAGAATCATAGAATGGTTTGGGTTGGAAGGGACCTCTAAAGGTCACCTAGTCTGACCCCACTGCCGTGGGCAGGGACATCTTCAACTAGATCAGGTTGCTCAGAGCCCCGTCCAGCCTGACCTGGAATGTTTCCAGGGACGGGGCATCCACCACCTCTCTGGGCAACCTGGGCCAGTGTCTCACCACCCTCAGCCTAAAACATTTCTTCCTTGTATCTAGTCTGAATCTCCCCTCTTCTAGTTTAAAACCATTACCCCTTGTCCTGTCACTACAGGCCCTACTGGAAAGTCTGTTCACATTTTTCTTATCAGCCCCCTTTAAGTACTGACAGGCTGCAACAAGGTCTCCCTGGAGCCTTCTCTTCTCCAGGCTCAACAACCCCAACTCTCTCAGCCCTTCTCCACAGCAGAGGTGTTCCAGCCCTCTGATCATTTTCGTGGCCTCCTCTGGACACTCTCTAGCAGGTCCTTGTCTGTCTTGTGCTGGGGACCCCAGAGCTGGACACAGTGCTGGGGGGTGTGGGGTGTGTGTGTCTCAGGAGAACGGTTGAGTTGCTCCAATACATAACACCATGTACTGCAGACCTGCACCTTACTTCTAGCTGACCGCCCTTTTCTCTACTTCCAGCTTCAGGATTTTGTTCTGCCGCCCTTTCGCCCAGCAGCGCTCTGCCAGCAGATTTCTGCCCCGGGCCGTGCTGACAATAAGGAATTCAGCTTAGGAGCTGCAGCCTCTCATTAAGAAAAGCAATCTTTCCAGACATCAAACCATTCCACTGGTTCTTTTCCCATCAATTGCTTTCTAAGTCCTTTACTGACACATCAGCGTAAGAAGAGGTCACAGCATTTCCACAAGGCACACGCACACGTGTGGCAGCAATAATCCTTCTCTCCTGCTACTCCCTCTCTCTTGGCACAGAAATCAAAATCTTCTTACGCCGCCTGTGCCCTCCCCTTGGAGAGGCCCCCTAACCCCAAGAGCATCAATCGAAGGAACGAGGGAGTATTTCTGAAATCGAGCACTCCATTAGGAATCTCCCCATCTCCGGTATCACCTGATAGTTATGGAATAGCACAAGCTGTAAACCTAGAAATAAGAGGATACATCCTCTTATGAGAAACAGTAAATGCCCAAAAGTTTACCACAAGACTGTGACGGATGATGCCTGCAGGCAGGGCAGAGCAAATAAGATGTGCAACAGAAGCATTAACCCAATAATGATGGAAAGACAGAGAAGAAAAGCCAAACGACGGGGTCCTTGCTATCCCAGCGCTCTGGGGAGAGATGGGGCACAAGAGAGCAGCCACAGGAAACACGGAAAAAAGCTTTTTCTAAGGAGGAATCGAGCCAGCCGACAGCAAAGCAGCAAGGTCTTGGTATTTGCAGAGGGGTCTTCAGGGAGGGAGGGGAGCAGGGCTGGGGAGACAGAACAGCGACCGCCTTCAGCACAGGAATCTTAACCTGGAGTCCTGGAATCACCCAGTAATAACTAGAGATGAAATACAAAAGCTACTCCAGATTCTCAGAAAATAAGGGAGGATATAAACTGTTATGTATAAGTATCACTTTATTATTATTATTATTATTATTATTATTATTATTATTATTATTATTATTTTAGCTCTTTGTAACTTTGTTCCATCTTTGTAAATATATGCTTTCAGGTAGGTGTTATCATTTACCCTTTTTCATTACAAAGCCGACACTGCGTGATCAGATAAACAACACAAGCTACTCCTCGCTCAAAGAGGAGGCAAAGCTTAAAATCATGTTTTCTGGGTTTCAGCAAATCCTCAACTTCCAGACCATCCAGGAAGCAGTGGGACGTTTGCCAGCTGAAAAGCACTTTTTTGGTTCTATAAGACCTTGTATTTGTTTGCATCAAAACGTAGGTCACCAAAATCACCCCAACGCTGCCAAATAACAGTCTCCCTTATTTTGTAGGAGTTTCTGTGTCAACGCAAATTCTACCAGGGATTACTTTATATAAATCACACACCACGCTCACTGGTGGAAGCTTGTCTTCTGTGACGTCTAGAATCAACTGAAAGTGCAGCCACAAAAGAGAAGAACCGCCCTGCCCACGCTACGCTCTTCTGGCAATCCAGAAGGTATCCGAGCAAATGAACTTCAGGGGACTGAGAATAACAATATATGTAACTATAGAGAGCTATATATATAATTATATATTAGAAGACATATATAAAAGAATATATATGTGATTTTATTTTCTATGCATCTATATATTTATATTTCTATAATAAAATCATTAGCTAAGTATTTTTCATTGCTGCACAAAACTGACAGATCAAACTGGGCAGGTACATTCTCTGCAGTACATCTGAATATTTCTGTTCCTGGTAAGACAAGCCAGGAAATATTCAGTAAGTATTTATGTTTAATTAATTTTAAGACAGATAGACAAAGTATAATAAATTAATATAGCCTGGGCTTTTGGGACTCCAGGCTTTGCTTGGAATTATAATGTCACCAAAAATTTAACTAAACGGCACAATGGAATCAACTTTATGTCAATGGAGTAAGAATCCAAAAAATTATTATTAGATTTGACCTGCATCTTCAAATCAAAGCTGAAACAAATGCCATCTACAGGAGGCGAGGCATTTTCACTGTAGGCTGAGCCACTAACGAAAAATATATATATTGTCAGTATGGTCGGCAGATATATCACAACTCATTCAGGGAACACATCTGTCATAATAATGTGCTCTGGTGTGTTCCCACCTCCCTCCCACCTCAGGAGAAGACGGGCCAGAAACAGAAGACACCAAAGAAAACTGAAGAAAATTGTATCAGAAAAAAAAAAAATTAAGGGAGAGTGTGAGAAAGACTAACAAGATTTGAGACGACCCTGTATGCAGGAGGGATTCACGAGATGGGAGGCAGCGAAGTACGTGGAAATCAAACAGAAGAAAGAGGATCATTCACATTCCAGTACCTAACATATGCAACAGAATTAAAGATAATTTCACATTTACATCCCTGCATGCATCATCCAGTGCATGATTACCATGCAGCCTTCTTTATTACAGGTCTTTTAAGTGTGCAACAGAATTACAAAAAAAAAAAGTCACCTCTAGATAAGGAGACGGTATTTTAATATCAGACAGGGCACGAAAAATATCTGTGAAAGTTCTTGCTTTCCAGGCTCTTCACAAATCCATTGCAGATGCTACCGAGGCCACCGCCAGGTACCCACGGCTTGAGCCTGGTGCCCCTCTGCTCTCTGGCTTTCTAGCCCACTGAAAGCTTCAGCTGCTCTTCCCGTCTTGCAGACAAACAGAAAATGGGAAAACTCGGGCAGCTTCAGCAGGGCGGCCCCGCTGCCGTTCGGGTCTCCTGCCCACTGCGCCCCGCCGCAGGCAGCAGCGAGACGTCGGCAGGCATCCGTGCCAACCCGCGGCAGGGAGAGGCGAAATCGTCGGCCTCCCGGAGCGTTTTAACTCATGACCGAGAGGGAACGCGGCAATGTCACCTGGCACTGCGCACCGCGCAGCTGCCAACTCCCACCGGGACCGCAGGGATCAGCTGCTGCTCTGTATATTTAGCTCGGGGAGCACAGAAAGGAAAAGTGATCTCTTGCAGCTTTCCTTCAGCACACCGTCACCAAAACAAACCCCCAAGGACTCTCCGGAGGGGACAGTGCTAGCTGCGGTGAGAACATCTCTATAAACAAGCGGCGAGGAGGATGCAAGATGGGGCCCTCGCCTCCTCTGACGAGCTGTCAGTGCACGGCGCAGCACGAGAGGCTGGAGGAGCTGGGCTGCCTGCACCAAAGCCCCGGGAAACCTTAAAAGCAGATTTTCCCTCACTATCTTCTAGGGAAAAGGCAAAAGAGAAGAATAGTGCAAATACAGCAAATCAGCCAAACTCTGCCTAGCACAGTCTTCGGAGGTGAAGGCTTCTGCCGGGTTGCTGGTGCTGTGTGGGCATCTCAGCTCTGCTCCTCTGACCCAAGCTAGAAAACAGAGATGTTTTCAGCTGACTGCTGACCTGCTAGCTCTGTATCTGGTACCATCAGACACGTACTACTGCTAAACACGCTTCCTCCAACCACCACGTGCTGCCAACCAGCACAAATCAGTGGGAATTCCTGTTGCACAGACTGTAACGCACCCGTGTCCCCGACGCCGGCGGCGCTCAGGGCGCTTTCAGAGCCCGCATTTGCACATCTACTGCACAATTTTCAAGTTGTATACCTCTCTGGCTCTCTTTTTTTCCCCAGTGGAGGGACTCCCCAGAGTTTTCACATGCATACACGTGCACATTATGTGTATGCTAACACACATGTATATAAAGTAGCTACGGGACTCCCAGATGTCCAAAACACCAGGCACAGGAACCACTGCACAGAAATATTGTCCTAATTGCAAAGCATTAAAAAGCAGCACTTCGAAGTGTTACAAGACCCTGCTGATCCCACCCCTGGAGACACCCAAAACTCGACAGTCCTGGGCAGCCGGCTCTGGGTGGCCCTGCCTGGGCAGGGGTTGGACCAGACCATCTCCAGAGGTCCCCCCCAGACCACCTCCAGCCTCGGCCCGTCTGTGAATCTGCAACAAGAACGGAAGGAAAATGTAGTCAACCGAGAGACTCACCACTAAGTTCAGAGAAAGACAAACCATGATCACACCATCCAAAAGCAACGGGAACAGAACCACCACTACAAGCAACAGCCAACGTGAGCTGAAATGGCTGCGGGAAGACTCAGCCTGTGAACGCTGCTTGATGTCAAGTTTTCTTTTATAATTTAACAGGTT